ATGCAACCTGAATGTAATGATGCCAAATCAAATGCAGAAGATGCAGTGCCTGCATCAGAATTACCCAAAGATTGGATTGCTGTTATGTATCATTCAAAAACATCTGCAAATGCAGAGAACAATGACACCGAATCCAATTGTTCATCTGTTATTGAAAGGGTTAGTAATTTATACAAAAAAGAACAATTTTTGTTCAAGACCAAGTTTTGTCTCTTGGATTTTGATCCATTTTTATCTGTTTTAATTGGCCGATGATTGTTTTATTCATTATTTTCTCCTCAGAAAATATCCAGAGTTTATCTTGAATTTTATTCTTATTAGATGAAGCACTGTCAGCCATTATTCATTTTAGGTTTCTTTAATCTTAATTTCAATTGATTTTTATTATATAAGTAGTATTAATAGTAGTATTATCTTGAATTTTATTATTAGATGAAACATTGTCAACATTTATTCACTATTTCTTTCATCTTAATTTCACTTGCTTTTTATTACACACACACATATATATATATATATATAGTGCTACTCGCTTGGAAAAACCTTGGGTATTTCAGATTGTAGTAGAACAAAAACCCAAGGAAAAATAAGGAATAAAAAAAAAAAAGAACTAAGAACATGAAACAATTGTCCAGAGTTCCAGCTAAGAGTCCAAAGAAAAAAGACCTCCAAAATGAGTAAAAGCAACTATGTAAAGTAGAGCAAACCTAATATAAACCTAAAGAGCCATGGAGGGGCATATGATGGTGCAGAGGTATGTGAGTTGATCGGATACCTCCTACTTAACAATTTAAACAAGTATATCAATCCTAGCAACCATGGTCTGTATAGGGATGATGGATTAATTATTGTAGACAAAAGTAACCCTAGAAAATGTGACGTAATTCGAAAGAAACTTCACTGGTTGTTTAAAAAGTTTGAATTCAACCTTGATATACAAATAAACTTGAAAGTTACCCATTACTTAGACATTATGCTAGACTTATGTGATGGTACGATTTCACTGTATACAAAAGATAATCAGCACCCACAATGACGTAGGTTCAAACCACATGGCCCATATTTTGAAACAAGTACCTAAAAGTATTAATCACAGATTGTCCGCTAACTCATCTAATAATAATATTTTTAATAAAAATAAACTAATCTACGAACAAGCCTTAAAGAGTAGTGGGCATAATAGTAAATTAGAATATATCGATACGAATTATTCCCCTAAAACGCAAAGTAGACATAAAACCAGAAGTAGAAAAATATTATGGTTTAACCCCCCCCACCATATAATTTAGCGGTGGAAACCAATATAAGCAAGATATTTTTTGAACTACTTATAAAGAATGTCCCACAAACAAATACGTTTCATAAAATCTTCAATAAAAACCACGTCAAATTAAACTATAGCTGTATGCCTAATATAACCAGTTTAGTTAATAGATATAATTGGAGATAAATTAAAGACAAACCACACAGTGTCCCACCTAAGTGTAATTGTAGGAATAAGGAAGCCCTGCCCCCTCCAGGGCAAATGCCAACAAGAGTGCATGGTTTATCAAGTAAAAATATATAAGAATAAACTGAAAATACCAATAAAACCCCTAAGGTTTACATAGGATCTACCCAGAATAATTTCAAAACACGATACTATAACCACCTTAGTAGTTTCAATAGCAAAACTTACAAACACAGTACCACCTTATCCTCTTATGTATGGAAGGTCAAACAAGAAGATAATAAGGACCCCATTTTGAAATGGGAAATATTTTTAAAAAATGTGACAGCTATAAAGCAGGTGATAAATTTTGTTCCCTATGCATGTTAGCTATTTCTAGCTATAAAAAAAAACCCCAATAATTTATTAAATCTAAAATTGGAAATTCCTAGTAGGTGTAGACATAGGAAACACTGGTTATTAGAATAGGGTTTTTTTTGTTTTTTTTGTCACATGGTCATGGTTGTTTTTGGTTTTAGGTGAAACCGAGGCAGGTTTGCCTGGCTCTTTAGATTTATATTATATATATATATATATATATATATATATACATCCTGGGTATGATGATAAAATACATCTGTATCCCTGGTAAGCAATCAATAAGGTGATTACCTTATATTACCACTGGATGAGTACAATGATGCTAGTTTCTCTTGTTATTGAGCACTTTTTGCTGTACGCACAAGCCTTTCCAGGTTGAATTTTTTCTTTTTTTTTTTGCCATTTTTAGGTCTTGGCTGGATGATCTACCCTCCCCACTGTGCGAGTTTGGTTTGCTTGTCAAATTGTACTCATCCAGTGGTATATAAGGTAATCATCTTATTACTGCAAGTTACTGTCTACCTGAAGATTGTGTGCAAATACATGAAACTTGAAAGTAGTGGCCAGTCATTGCCTACATGGTTATTGAATTAATGTTCAAATGCTCTGTCATTTTATGGCATACAGCATTTTATATGAGAAGGTTAATTTTGATTTTGGGCAGACTCTATTTAGAGTTGCTTATTCAAACCTTAGAATTATATATATATATATATATATATATATATATATATATATATATATATATATATATGTATGTATATATTCTAGCAGTAATCTTGAATGTTATTCTTATTATATGAAGCATTGCCAGTCATTATTCCTTTTTAGGATTTCTTTCATCTTAATCTCACTTGCTTTTTATTCGATTAATAGTATTAGTAATGATATTGTCTTAAGTTTTATTATTAGATGAAGAATTGTCAACCATTATTCATTTTGAACTAGTATTTCTTCTATGCTTTTCAGCATCTCTGGATTTTAAAATTTGACTAGTGTGTTGAAAATATTTTTGCCTGATCCACTTTCCAAAATCATTACTGTATTGTTTCAAACATCAGCATACTGACTTGGGGAAATAGTTTGGGTTGAGGAGCACCCCATAATGCTAAAAGTCAGTTAGATCCAAATGTATCGTCAGAGGCATTCTTTTATTTTTTCATTATTGTTTTAATATAAAAAAATATAATATACAGTACTGTGTAATGTGATATTATTAAAATATTCAACTTTTTCAGTATTTAGTTCAAATCTTTTGGGGCTGTGATTCAAAATCTTATCTAAAATCTATCAAAAATCTGTTTGTAAAACTCAGATTTATTTTCAGAATAATTAAAAAAAATATCGGTTATTCTAAAAGAAAAGAGTGTAGAGTAATGGTAATGGCTTGGATTGAGGAATCAGAGAGCCAAGTTCAAATTCTAGTAGAGTTTGTTATATTCACTTATGTGCAAATATCATTGGGAAAAATATGAATCGATCCCTTCTCTCCCAAGATAGACAGGATCCTATAACCTTAGGTGGCAACCAGTCTATGAGAAAGACAACTCTGAATTCAAAACCTCCAACTATGGGTTAAATAGCCTTGCCAAACCTGCAATTTGCTATGCATGGTGGCTATGGCTACCCCCCATGAAGAAATGGCCAATTGTCAGCAGGGTTACTCCAATACTCCAACATAAGTAAGAAGGTCCTGGATTTGGATAAATGAAAAATGAAAGCCTGGATATATTTTCCAAGTCATCCATGGAATTTTAGTCTAATTATTCATGAAATTTTCATCCAAAGATCCATTATGAGGTTTCAGCCTAATTAGAACATCTGCCATGAAAATATTTATAGAAAAGACAAAGGGAAAGCATGTCACAGTGTGGGAAAGTGACTGATGTGGAGATGCCAGGTCAGTACCCATAACATTACAGATCCTTAAGATTTTGTCAAGAATCTCAAGATATATAGCAGGAGCAGATAGGGTAGCAATATTCAATGCACATTTGAATGGTTAAATGTGCAAGATGATAAGAAAAATTATCTGGCATGATACAGTGAAGCAAATGTCTAATAAGAATCCAGACTTCGCAACTGATTCAATATAATCATTTCATTTCATGTCAGTAGAAAACATGAAACCCAGGAAGGTGCAATGAATTGCTTTTCTGAAAGTTAATATTAGCCATATTAATAGAAGGCAAAAATGGTTCTCTATGTTGAGTAAAGGATAGCTGTTTCATTTTGGAGGCATTAAAATTAACAAGCCATTTCTTGCCTCAGTTAACAACTGACTGGAATTTATTTTTAAGAGCAGCTGCCAGTTTTACTTTGTTGAACCTATCAGATTTACTATGAAGACAGGAATAAGTTGCTATGTTATCAACACTGATTTTAGATATTAAAGGAAAAAAGATGTTGTCAAGAGACATGATTGTATATGTGTTGAGGAGAAGGTACTTTGGATATTGAACTGCATTTCTTAATTGTATTGGAACAAAAGCCAATGTCTTCTGAATCAAGAAACTGCAACAGGGTGGAATTTTGTGGTTGTATAATGTAATTACCCCATCGTTATATGTGTAATTGTAGTAGTAGTAGTTGATATAGGAATCCTTTTTACTTTTTTTATACTTAAAATGAAATAAATTAAAAGGACAACAATAGTATACACAATAATACTCAAGACATGTGTTGATATTAATAACAAGAATTTGTATTTTTCTTTTTCATGATGTGAATTACAGATATTGATTGATGTGTGTGTTAAAAATGTTTTCAGTGTTACAGTCGCTTTCGTTTCTTTAAAAGTTTGTGCTTACTTGTTTTTGCTGGTTCTGAGAATTTCGTTGTTGAGGATAACATTTGAGATCATCAGTTTTTGATTTTCTAGAGGGATACGTGTGTGTGTGTGTTGGCCATTTTTACTAATGCAGTTCTACTAATCCTATTCTACTGACTGCCCGTCCTAAATGCCATCGGGGAAAGGGTTGTTTTTATAATCAGATTTTAGAATGATGAAATATCTTTCTCATCTTTCATCACTGGTGGCAAGGTCGTTTTTAAGATGATAAAATTTTCATCTTTATTTTAGGGATGATGAAATATCCTTATTTTCTAATGGCAAGGTTATTTTTAGAAGGAAAACATATTATTCTGGATCATAAAACAAAACTGTTGACAAATTAGTTTTTTTTCAATTCTTTATATAAAAGCTGAAATAGTTGTTTGCATATAAAAGTTCAAAGGATTTGTAGTTAAAGTCGTTTTTCTTGTTTATTTTTGATCTGTCTTTTCAGGTAAGACGAGCTCTTATGTTGGGGGCATCAGCCATCATCTTATTGACACTTAACCCAAAGATTCTTCGAGAGGTAAGAAATTTGGTCAAGTTTATTTTATTTCATCCTCTTTTCTTTATCTTTCTCGACTTGAAACTTGTATAAATAAGTTTTTATTTGCTTACCGTCTATAGCACATAAGAATAGATGTAATTGTTGTATCTATTTCTTATCATGGTGTTAGTAAATGGCTTAGGTTCTTAAATTCCAAGAATACATTGAATAACATGTTGTTGTTGTTGTTGTTAAGCTTGTCTGACTGGATGATAAATTATTGACATATGCATAAGTAGCTATTTACATTGTTCAGACTTGTCCTCATTTTTATTTGCCATATTCACAACATTTCAGGCATTGTATATACAGACCTTCAAGTGATATATGTTGGAATTTCAAACCAAACCCTATATTTAGTCCACTAAATTAACTAACACTGATATGTTGAAAAAAGCATAGCACATGGAATTAGAACATTCTAAAATCATGGACTAAATAAAGGGTTCCATTCGTAATACCAACATATGTCACCTGAAGAAGGTTGGAGTGTACAATGGCTGAAATGTCATGAATATGGCAATAAAGATGAGGACAATAGTCTGAATGATGTAAATAGTGTAAATAGTTACAATACCCCATCTCAGAAATACAGATATGCATCAGTGTTCTTTTTCCACTGAAAAAGAAATGGCCCACTTACTGTTCCCACTCATGAGCAGAGATGCACTGTACATCAGTCTACAGAGACCATCCCCAACTGTTTAGGTTCAGGCAAGTGACAAGTAAATTGGTGGTACTGAACGGAACATTTTTCTGTCATCCTGTAAGATTGATGACAATAAATTCACCAAGACAAGACATGCAAACCTAGGGTCAACTGTTATCTTCCCCATATATCCCCATAAAATGTGCCCCTCTTCCTCAAGTGGCTCTTGGGCCTTGTACAGGGTGAATACTGTAAGAAGATGTATATTAAGATCAAAAGCCATCAACACTATATTTCACAGCAATCCCTCTTTTTTTTCTTTTTTTACAATAAAGTTTACTCTGTACAAGGCCCAAGAGCCACTCAATGTAGCAGGTTACAGAGTAAGAGGCATAGTTTATGTAGATATGTGGGGAAGATAATGGTTAACCCCCATCACTACACTCTTAACTTGTTCTAGACAAGTTAAGAGTGTAGTGATGGGGGAAGCATCCTCTTGGGAGTTGATTCAATGAGCAAAAAATTGCTTGAGTGAACTTACATCTCACCAATGAGAATACAGAGAGAATAAGGTTGGTTAGCTAAAATGTGCTTGGCATTTTGTCAATATTCTTGAATAATAAATAAATGAATTCAGTTATTTATTTGAAGAAAATCCCTGGTGTTGGCAAATGTTATTTTCTGAAAAGACCAGTGTCATTTGATCAACTGGTGGTGATAAATAAAATATTATATTTTTCAGAATATTCTTATATTCTGAAAAATATAAGATTCCCTGGTGTATAAGAGACACTCTTATTTGAATGCAAAGTTTATGCAAAAAATCTACTGTTGTATTTGAAATATGTTTATATATATTTATATATATTTATATATATATATTTATATTATACATTACAAAAATTTAATCTGACACTTTAAAAATGAGTATATATTTGGGTATTTAGTTGAAACTGTTTTTGGCAGTGACCCCAAAATCTAAAATCTATAACGTCAATTTATGTTTGCAAAAATCAGATTTATTTTCAGAATAATTAAAAAAATATTTTCTGAAGGAATTTCTGAGATGAGGAGTTATCATTATTTACCTCTATTATCCTCATCTTTGTTGTTTTCACAACATTTTAGCTGAAGGGCACAACAGACAAAACATTATAACAACAGCAAAGATGATGATAATATTCCCATTGGAAATAATAAAAAAGATATTGGTTATCATAAAAGAAAAATGAAAGTCTGGATATTTCTTCCAAATTCATCCTAGTTCAACTAAAATCCTGGCCCAATTTCGGTCTTTTTCGATTTACACATCAAAAGGTGTGAAAAACAGGGAAGAAAAAAAAGAAACAAACTACAAACTGTCAAAAGTTATTATGCAAATCAAATAAGCCTCAATAACTCAAAATATTCTAAACCACTATTTGTCAAATTTAAACTTATCCATTTCCACCCTTAGTAAAATGCTTAATTAAATTTTCTTCCTTTTTTAATGGTTAGTTTTTGAGATATTTGGAATTTACGAAAATGAACTGACTGAAGTTAATATTCAGATTAAACTAATATTAGCTTAAGACCTCTGAAATCCAATAAAAATTATATTTTACTTTTTGTCCATAATATATATTGAAACATGGATAAAGGGAAGGATGTAACAACAGAACTTAAAAACAGAAAATAACTAAGTTACTGAGTGAGTGAATGTCCACATTGGAGATATCAAAGGAGCTTTACAGAGATCATCAAACGATAAAAGAAGGCTGTTGAAAATAATATGGATTTCAAGGCCACCAAATTAGATTATTTCTACCCAAAGTAAATAACAATGATAGTGAACATACAGTCAAAAATTACATAAATATTTTCTACAAAAAGTAAATGCACATTAACTACAAACAAGATGAATCTTCACTTAGATATATTATAATGAAATACACTACCCCAAATGACTTGAATAAAAAAAATCAATTTAGTTATCTACTACAAAAAATTTAAAACTGTTAACCTTATCCTCAAAAATAACAACACACCAGCAAAACAAAATTACAAAGAACAAACATTATCTATGAGTTTCTGTGTTCGTGATCAATCCAAATTTATAAATAATTACATTGGTCACACAACTACATGCCTATTCAGACACCTTATGTTACACATATATCAGACCACAGTTCTTTTAGAATCCATTTAAAAACACACACAAACTTACCAGACTCCATCCAAAATGTACTAGTAGAATAAATACAAACATAATAACCTCATCCACATGTAAAAAAAAGATGAAAAATAATGGAAGCCTTAATAATAAAAAAGAAAGGTCAACACTTGATAATATTAACTATTTATTAAAGACATATTTTATGTTTAACGTTGTTATTTTATAGATACAAGTATTTAAGCAAATGCTCTGTTTATGATAAACAGTATTAAATAACATTTGTGCCTGAATGTCCGAGAAATTTTCATAGAAAATATTCGTTCTTTGACAGGATAATATTAACTATGAACACGGCCACAATGTGCTGACTGTGTTCGGAAAATAAAACATCCCTATAACTTTAAAACCATACACACAACCCATACACCCAATTAAAAAGCAAAAATAAAATCATCCTTGATAATAGCTAGAAGTATAGCCGAAAGCACATGGAATTATAGAACATTAGGACAGTTTCTACACACTCTATGTCCCAAAAAGAAAACAATTGTTTGAACAGAAGAAAAATTAAATACAAAGCTTAATCGTAATACCTTGTCTGTTGTCTTTAATGAGACATATATATATATATATATATATATATATATATATATAAATTAATTGATTTAAAATATGTTTTTTTTTTGCTACACAGTTCTAACCATGTTTCAAAAATGGAAGCTAAAAGATTCAAATTTAATTTTGTAATTAAATTAAAGACATTAGTTCCATTTCATCCTCAAGCGAATTTTGAGTAACTTATTTTTAAAATTACTGAGTTTTAAAGGCACTGCAAAAAAATCATAATTCACGTTTCCAGGATACAGAGAAATCCATTCATCCAGACAAGGGATGGTTGCATGTTCATTATCACTGTATTTTGATGTATCAGTTATTAGTTACATTTTGGTAGGGGTAGGGATGTATTTTTCAATGAATTCTGACATCTATGATATATATATATATATATATATATATATATTCTTGACATAATCAAAAAAATATGCTATGTTATCAGTCCTGACCAGGCATCTCAGCTTCAATTGCTTTCCTGCCACCTTAATGTAGCTTCCCTGTACCTTTTCTATAAATATTTTCATGGAAATTTTTCTGATGAGATTTTCCTCCTTGGTTCATGAAGTTCAAAGTACTAGATTGGTAATGTAGCAATATGAGTTAAATTTAAGACAACTTGATATCGGTCTTTTTTGATCGATGGGTATCAGTAATTGGAGTTAATTACAAAGTACAAGAGCATGACTGAGAGAAAGTGAAAAGGAAGATTAACTGCTTTTTTTGGGGGTGATGACAGGACAAAGAAAACTGTTGTCTATAAAATTGACGATCCCACACAAAGGAAAACAGAAGCAGGCCATGACTGCACCCTCCTCCTCACTTATGAGAGAAAGTTGTAAAAGAAGGAAGATTAACAGAAATTGCTTTTTTTTTAACGATCTGGGGGTGATTTTGACAGGACAAAGAAAAACTTTCATAGAAATTATTAAAAAATATCTTTTAAAATTGGATTATCTAATCCAACATTATTTAAAGGAAAATTATAAGCAGGCCATGCTTTTTAAATAGAAAAAGACAGGTTGGTAAACATTATCTTGCCAGTTTAAATTCAGATTATTGTCATCATCTTTGTTGTTGTTCACCCAAATACACACTGCCCAGCCCAGGGATTGAACTCACAATTACTGTCACCAAATTCCTTTAATCCATTAGGTTATTGTCCCACAAAATTATTTACTTGCTTATAGTTGATACAAAATATGTACCAATACATGGAATGAAAAATTTTTCCTGGTTTACTCCAAGACTATAGAAATTGGTCTTTTGCAAATTTTTCATTTGCGGGGAAGAAGAAGATTTATACCTGGCCAAAGGGTATTATTTTTTGAATGGACTCAACTGGTGTTTGAACTTGGCTCCCCTAAAAGAAGCTGCTATCCGTTACTCCACCATGCCTCCTCCATCCTGTCTTAATTAAGTCTGATTAGTTAATTTCAATGACTCCAAAAAACAATAACTGCTCATTAATTTTTTAAACAAATCATCTTCAGAAACCTTTTTTTGCCTTTCATCAACATGACTAACCACCAGGAGAGTGACTCATTGCGCCATCTCTGCCTA